TCGCTGGACGGCAGACGTATTGCAACGAGCTCCGACGATACGACTGTCATCATTTGGGATGCTGGCCACCAGGAGCATCTCTGGCGATATGTAGGGGCCATAAGTACCGGGTTGTCTCTGTCGCCTTTCTCTCCCAGCGGAGAACGTGTCGCGTCCGGAGGCTATGACAATCTCGTTCTGGTGTGGAATGCAGACGGAGGGAGACTGACTCAGGAGCTGGAGGGGCACGCCTACCCGGCGTGGTCGGTTGCCTTTGCTCCCGCCGGGGACGTCATCATTTCCTCCCAGTCGTTCAACACCATGCGACTCTGGGACGCTGAATCAGGAGCCTGTCTCCTCGTCCTCGACCCACATACCTGGTACCGCACCCTGCACCTGTCCCCCGACGGCTCCGGAGTCCTGGTCGACGACAACAACCGACTTGTCCAGCTGTGGGCCCCTGTCGATGCGGATGCGCAAGTGACGACCCCTCTCCCATGGCTTCCGCGTCGCACCTGGCCTATATACTACATCGAGGACGATTGGATATTCTCTTTGACGCCGTCTCGGCGGACCCGGTTGTGTTGGGTTCCGCTAGGCTGGCAACGCGGGGGCATCGTGGGATACTGTGGGCACAATGTAGTGTTCAAGAGCGGGTACAGACTGAATTTCTCAGAATTGAATAGGTACCTGGGCAAATTGCACAGTAATCATACGTAATAGTGTATTCAGGATGCTGTACGCCTTCGTGCATAGATGGAGCATAGTTCCAGTAGTACAGGGATATGGTGTCTCTAAAGCAAATGTATCATAGATGTATGTCATACGTACAAGTGGCACTACATAAATACTGTGACATTGGTCCACCTCATCTACGGTGAAAATCGCAGTGCAAACATCATAGTCGCGAAATGATAGGCGCTCGTCAAGTCCAAATCGTCAGATAGTAAGGCCTACCGGCGGACGACTACAGCTAAAACCAAAGTGATCCCGGCATAGTCGTGAAGCGACGCCCCACGCGAACTCGATGCCGCTCGTCTTGAGGCTCTCGAGCGAGAACAGCGGGCGCTTAGTCTTGCCCTCACCAATGGCGTTCGACTTTGTCGCCACCGGTTTGGTGCGAGGCACGACCGCGGGAGGCGAAAACTGGTCGCGCTGCCATGCGAGGTCTTCTCCGAGTTGTGCCAGCCGTAGCAGGAATCAGCATTCGCAGCAGACTGCGCGGATACATACCGCGAAGCCCTCTGCCGCGCTCGCTGCTCGCGTCGCGTCGGCCAGGCGTCTCGGCATTCTCCTCGTCTTCTTCGAGGTCGTCAAGTGCGCAACGCAGCTCCGTGCCGCTGTGGCTCAAGTGCGGAGCTGAGGACTCATGCCAGCTGGTGAAGACGCCTCATTGCCGGGGAGGAAGTGGCGGTGGGAGGCGTTCGAGCATTGAAAGCAAATGAACCTGCCTTCGGGAAGCGGGAAAGGCATTGACCTGCGACCACAAAACGCGAGAAGCGATTTTATTGCCGTTGCACCAGCAGGCTCAGACTTGGTGCTCGTCCCGGAAAAGATGGCGTCGTAGCTGGCACTGCTTAGGCTTCAAGCTGCCTGACCCCACGACGAAGGACATCCGAGAGAAGCAAATATTAATGCCACCAGCGGTGCTCTTGTGCTGTGGATCGTAGTCGTTCACCGGTCGTGCTCTCCGTCCTGGCTATAGACGTACGAGACGACTTGAGTGGTTCAAGAACCTCGAAACGCGGGGGTCTGCTCGATTTGTTAGGTGGACCGATTAAGTACTTGGCTCGTGACGCACTCAGCGATGCTGAATAGTTGCTCGAGAAAGCCCATAACGGAGACAAGCGATGCATCTCGACCGGCCTGTACGTCTTATTCAAGTGCAGTCGGGCTCCCGTAGAGCCAGAAAGGGGACGAAGTCGAGATGTGATCGTAATCGTGAAAGAGCGGCGACATGAGAGCTCTTCTTGGGTCACGTCTTCGCAAAGTTTGTCACCCCTGCGATCTCAGTGAGAAGCGAAAGTTGCGTCGAGAGCGAAATACACGTACGACATTTTGGGCCGCAATAAAAAAGTGTACCGTAGAGATCGCCCACCCGCTCCTTCGCGACTTTCCTCTTTAACGCGACGATGCCGACCTCCACGTCGCGCAAGATCTTGTCGTCCTCAACGTTCAGCACGCTCTTCTATTCTTCTCATATAGCATCTGGCGCCGCTCGTGGGTCTTTCGGTACGAGTCGAACCTTGAAACCTAGCGCGGCCAATCCTTGCTGAGATATGTTGTAGATCGTAGCAGCAGCGCGCATGTTGCTACGCCTGTATGGTGAGCCTTCGATTTTTTCACCAGCGACCGTCACCGCTTCGAGAAAGCCTTTCCTGGCGACGGCGGCGGCGCCAAGCTCTCGCGAGATTTGACACGGCACCAAAAAGCGATTCTGCGAATTGTTAGACAACAGCCGACTGAGCCGAGTATATGTGCGTACCTAAGCTCCGATCCTGCAGTATGCTTCTAACCAACAGCCCTGCCAGTTGGTTGCCTTGGAACCACCAAGCTGGCCGACTGCCGAACGAGTCTTGCAAGCGCGACAGGATCCTGATGTGGCGATAGGGGCGGGCGACGGGCCGTCGGACGGTACAAAAGAGGGAATGGGTGGCATCGGGGGTACGTTAGCCTTGGAGCGTTGTTATCTCGCCACTGGCTCGATACCGGCGGTCACTATAATGGATGGAGCTGCTGGTACGATGATTTGACGAGGAGGAATGGTATGGGCTTGCGACCAAAGAGAGGTGGGAGGTGTTGTCGTCACCGCTGCACCCGCAGGCTCGGGCCCAGCGTTCAACGCAGGGAGGCCGGTATCGCAGCGGGAATTACAGGCGCACGTAGACATTCAAGCTTGATTAGGCTCGTATCGCCTGAGGTCACGATGAAGAACGCGCGGGAAAGGTGAATTTCAGGGCCAGTGGTGACGTCCCTGCATTGCCGGTCTTGCTCGTCCATTGCGAACATATGTGATTTGCACGTCTGGGGGGCCTCGAAGCCTAGGTATCCGCTCGATTCGTCGGGTGGACCGAGCACGCCTTCATCCACAATGTATTCGGCACTGTAAAAGAAGCTGAGTACGAGGCAGTCGTACTCACAAACAAAGGAAGGACGTACATGTAGAGGTTGCCCGATTGCGACTGACGACTGCTGCACAAAAATCGTCTTGCGTTACGCGTCGTCCGCACGCAGAATTGTCGAGTACATCCAGATAACGCGTTGGTAGAACGGGAATTCAAGATGCTACCCATTGACGAAAGGATATACGACTCGAATATTGTACATCTGGCTGAGTCTGGGTCGATGCTTCTTGAGAGCCAGGAAGGAGTGAAGCTGGTACATGGTCGTTGGCATGATAGAGCAACGGACGAGCGAGAGGCTCTTCTTCGCTTGTGTCTCAGTGAAAGATTTTCTCGTGTCCATCAATCCTGAAATCTGCGTGAGAGATAGAACTTGTCTCAAGAGCCAATGAAACGTACGAGCTCCTGGATCACCGTGCAAAATGTACAAGCTCGAACAGCAGAGAGTAGCTGACCATGCGTAGCCTCGTGAGCTCTCAAAGGTGACCATACTATATTCGGTGCCCTACGAGATCCTGTCGCCCCCGAGCCGCGTCTTGCTCTTCTTTGAGTACGTCGTCTGACGTTGCCGTAGGCCTTTCACAACAGGTCGAAGCTTGGGATCCTACGGCTTAACGCGCCGCAGCGGCTGGTCATCCTGAGGAGCATTCTCGTGAATCCTGCTAACAGCGCCCTTCTCGTTGCGCCTGTGCTTTGCGCCTTAAGCTGCTCCGCCGAATGCCACCTTTGCTATGGAGAACGGGTTCACTTTGGCGGCGACAGGCGTATCGGACACGGGCGAGCTGTTCAGAGATCCGGCACTGCGTCCAGACCATTCTGCTGAAGATTCTCAGGAATCAGTCGACCGAGAGTGTGTATATGTGCGCACCTGGGCCCGGCTCCACGATATACTCCCAACCGACAACCTTTCGCTCCTGTTGGGTGCACCGAAAACACGAGACTGGCCGCTTGTTGAACTCCAGGAGCCACACAGGAGGTAATGTTTTGTCCAAAAGACCGGTGAAGGAGCCTTGGTTCTGAGGCAGGATAGAATGGCTGTTGTTTAGCTCTATGCCAGAGGGATGGGGTTGCTCGCAGCGTTGACCGGTAAGGAGACCAGAACTCAGATGGAGCATAGGACATAATCAGGGGGATCTCTCTAAGGAGAAGTCTGTGTAAAAATATCTGATGCAGGGCGAACATCGACTCATGGTGGACGTCGAGGAGAGCCAAGTCGGGGCCGGTCTGCTCGGACTAAAAGCGTCGCCGAGTCCCGGACGCCACAAGGCCAGATCAAGTTTCCGCTTTAGGCCTTGGGCTTTGTTCAAGACCCATTGGACCCACGCGTCGCGAAGACTCTCGCGATGTTGCGGAGAACGTGGCTGCCACATTTGGCAGGCGAGCTGACTGACGACGCCACACCGAGGCTCCAGACTCCGAGTCCCCCGTGCCGGTGCGATGTATAGCGTCCATCATACGTCCACGAGCCGACAAGGGCGTGCGCCGCCGCTACCTCACGTCTGTCGCGTCGTGCATTTTCTCAGACACGTATGCACGCTGACGGGTAATGCAGGGACGCCAACGAACTTGCGAAGATGGCCCTCACCACGCTGAACATGCAACTCCCAAGAAAGGCTTAGTACGCGCCGCTCTACACGCCGCTAACATCGCCCTCTTCCGGCCAGAGGTGCACGACCTTGCCCTCAAGCCTGCTGACGTGAGTACACTCCGGATTATGCTCGCTATCATAGCACACTTATGGCTATTGTGGATCCTTTCGACCTGCCTGTCCTCGACTGGCATTCTCGATCTCTTCCGTCACCTCGTGACCGATACCGTCGCCTGCACTACCTCTGGCCCCCTTTCGGGCCCGCTTACAAATTAGAACAAGGAAACTCACGGTCCTCTAAGCATTGCAGTCTGTGACTTTTCAAAGTGCGTGCGTCATGGCTCGTTATATGCATGTCTGTATCGCGACAGAAGATCTTACATAGTCTTCTCTGCCCTGGTAGAGGAGCACTGCTCCGACCGGGGCTTGAAAGGCTGTCTACAAGATCCTGAACCCGAGGTCGAGGGAGGTGTGGACCTATTAGCTGAGATGTATGCTCGTTCTATCTTGCCTCGATGCGTCACTCGTCGTAATTTCAGTCCGTTGGCTCTTGCCTGTACGAGCCGCATGGCGCCATGCAGGCAGCATCGTTCATCACGCCAATCCGCCTGTGTTTCTCGACCTCGCCCTTGTCTACCCTAGGCCACATGGAGGAGAGTAAGCTCTTGGTGCTTGATTATCGCTGCTAAAGCAATACCCATGTTAGCAACAAGTACAACCCTACAACACGCCACTCGTCTGGCGCATCCGTTCGTGACGAGGATGGCTGCATGCGAGAAGGACCACAGGGACGTCGCCACCTTTGACCAGGATATCATCAGCCAGGACAATGGGCCGCGTGTGAGTTTTACTGACGGTGCCTCCAACGCCTGACTGACAGTGCTCTACGCCAGGTTGTCGATACCGAATGGCTCTAGTGCATGCTCTAGGAGCTGCCGCCGTCGCCTGTGAGACTGGGCCGAGACTGACGAGACCATACCCATCCACGTATCATCTTCATACCCACCCACATATCATTTCCCGACGCGACCGCTCTCAACAGGTGCCCAATACAGTCCATGGCATGTCGCCACTCGAGCGCGCCATGCCGCCGCCGCCATGCCCACCGCGACTCACGAAGCCGCACCCGAAGTCTAAATCACTTGAAGACCCACGAAATGTGTCGCTGTCGCGCCCAGCGTTGTTGTCTCGCTGCTGCGTCCCACGAGGAGTTCGACACAGCGGGCTACACGCTACCGCTAGGGACGGGTGCAGGGCATGCGCTGGGTCAAGGGGCGCTTCCCCGAGCGCGGACACGATCCCAAAGCCCCGACCGCTCTTGTTGTCTCCACAACTCGAGTATCTGCCGCCGGGCGCTGCAGCCCACGTGTATATCGCCGCTGTGATGTAGAGGAATACATATCCCATTGTACCAAGTGCTTGACACGTCGTGAAGCGGCGGTTCGGTCTGTACGAAGAGCGCTAGAGATTAAGGTATGGGCTAGGCCTGGACGAGGGCTCACCTGAGTGCGTACCTTAAGAATGCAACGAAGACCAAGACCGGGAGAACGAGCCCTCGAATGATTAAGTGCATGCGCAGCTAGGGCAATGTCTGTGGCTTTTGCCTTGGACGACTCCAGGACGCCGGGGTGCAGGATGCTAAGGGTATTCTATAGGATGGCATACGCAGAAAGCTGCTGGGAGCCGGTGATGAACGAGAGCACGATCATCATCCCAGCTAAGCTCGTCAGCGCATATTCAACGCTGACTTCGAAGACGGTTCAGCTGCGTCCGTTGAAGCTCATCTGGCAGGTCAGCGCGCAACATTGCAGTAACAGAAGACGATGAACATTGAAATTGCGAGATCCGAAGACTACAAAGTAGGTAGTCGAGAAGCAGGCATTTAATACATGCAAGTTCCAGTGATCTCCCCAACAAATCGGCAGTGGACGAAGTATAGGGAGCAATAACAAACATAGCGCCACTGCGGAGGGCCTTCGTCGCTCAACAGAGCCACGACTCGATCAATATGCCTGACTCGGTCCCCGACTGCCGAAACCGTCGTTCTCGCCACATTTTGGGGATGGGCACGGTGCATTGCGGGACCGTTCGGCTTGGCGCGCTGGCCGTTGGTTTCGGTGGGTATGATCAATGTGACGACGCGCTGGCCGGCATGGCCCCAATCTACCTGGCACTATCGTAGCCTTTGGGTCCGAACGCAGGCCAGTGCTTGCTTCCCAGAGGCTCAGGCGGAAGCAGTGCAGGGGTCTGGTCGTCGGCATGATCAGGCGGCGAAAGCGTTACACGTTCTCCTTCGCTCGAACTTCCCAGCGAGCGTCCTGCGTCTAGACCTGTCCGGATATCCGTATGAGACGCGAAGTAGTCTCGAGGGTTAAACGAACGCACTGGCTTCTGGTACGTCTCTACATCACACCGACTCCGGCTGCGGACGACGTTTGCGGGGCACAGCTCCGCGACGCTTCATTTTGACGCAATAATGCGTTTGCGCCGTATACGATATCGCATGAGGTCTTCTCGCCCCGAGCTCTGACTTCGTTCTCGTATCGTACGTTTTCTGGGGTCTGTCGTGCCCTCCCTGGGTGGGGCAAAGTGAGCTACGAGACTCGGAGCAGCCAATTTTCCTGAGACGTACTTGAGTGAGAAGTGAATATGGCGCCGTTCCTGTCGCGCCTTTGCCTTACAGCTTCAGCTGATCCACCGACGGCCATCATCGACATCGAGAAGGCCGTCTTGGTTGCCTCGCTCGTCATCCTGGCCGAGGTGCACAGAGGATTGCACACGCGCGGAGCGTCCTGAGATTCGGCATTGAAGAGCATGCTCCGAAGGTGCGTGAAAGCCTAGAATACACATGCGCATGAGTGGTCTTCGTGATTGCTTGCGTCGCTGCGCCCGGTTGCGGAACGTCGTAATATGCAGCGAGGTTTGGCATCTGGACTCTCAGACAATATTCAGTCAAGAGTGGGTATGCGTGCGCACCCATGCCCTGGTCCCATGCTGTACTTCCAGCCAACAACCTTCCCTCCCGGCTCGTGCCCTGAAGTGAGCTGTGACGGGTTCATCAGACTGGTGTAATACGGAGACAACCTCTAAACTCAAATGATCAACGGGCGGGCCCCTTAAGAGGTGCAGAATACGCACATTTATCTTCACAGCCGGATAGGCGGCAGTCCTTGGACTTGGAGAACGCGAGAGCCGGTCACATCGTCGGGGTGCTCATGGATCGAAAGGGGAGGTTTATACGGGAGGTAGAATGTATTTGAGAGTCATGACATGTTGGTGAAAGTCTGCGTTCAGCGAACTAAGTTGTAGAGTACTCGTAAGTCGTAACGGATGCAGGCGAAGAGACACAGCCGGCGCTCGGGGAATGTCCAGGGGTTAGGGTTTTCGTGTCGTTTATTCTGGCCCTCTTACACTGCGTTCTTTACCTGGTACAGACCGCCCTTCTCCGCAGGCCTTGCTCGGCCACTGCAAGAATCTCGACGCTACCAGCCAAGAAAATTTCCAAGAAAACCATAGGTCGCTTGTAAGTGAGCGCTGCCGCCGCAGACAATGTCTTGGAACCGGTGCTGACGTGAACGCGGCTCTGCGCAGGATGGCTGACATCGACACTCCCCACGCCACTCTCGTGTGCATTCTGGGAGCTCATCCGCCGCCGAGATATCACGCAGCGGCTTTAGGCCTGTGTCAACGAGGTCATGCCCGCCCTCGAACCGCGCGTCGTTCCCGACGCGAACATCTCCAACAGGAGCGAGTACTCGAACGTTCCACCAAAGAGGGTATGTATGCTCATCCTGAACCCATGGACGCAACGCTGATATAGCTCACAGTCCCCCGCCTGTGTGGCGGCGCGCCGTCGCTGCGTGAGCGCGTCGTACTCTCGTCGTCGTCGTCGTCGTCGTCGTCGTAGCGCCCGTCTCATCTGGCGAAGCCCAGCTCGAAATAACATTCGCCCCTGTGCCCGCAGAACGCGTCGCCTATCCTGTCTACCGCGCACCCGCACCACACGGGGCTCAACACGATGGGCTACTCGCTTCCGATAGGCACGGTCGTCGCAATGTCTTCTGAGCAGCTGGATTCTTCGAAGACGACCGCCCAGAACCTGGACCTGAAGCACCTCTCCCTCCTACTCCCTCTTCCCATTGCCCAGCCTGTTGCCCAATCATGCATCATTTGCCAGCCTTCGCATGGTACCGAGCCGGTTTTCGTATCCTTGACGTCATCCGTTCTTGAGGAGAAGCAAGGCAAATGCAGGAAAGTCATCGTTGCCAGACGGTAGAGATGCGGTCTTTGCTGTAAATGTACCCCGGCTTGCGAAAGTGGTAAGCAAAAGGTGTCGATGGTGGGTGATGAGTTAGCTTCAATGTTCGTGCATCCCTAACACGCCTATAGGACCACACTGCAGTTAGTCTGACCAATACTTGTTATAGAGGATCTAGCTCAAACCTCGTGTGAACATCCTCGCCCGACAAGCTGTGGATTCCGTGCGGGGTCTGGTGGGAGGTCGCTCCGGCTATCAGTGTTGTTCTATGGCTGCAGGACGATGACGCGCTAGAGAAGGTTGAGGGCTCGGGAAATCGAACCCAGAGTACGCGACGAGTTTTGTAGGCGTGCTGCCGAGCAGAGATCACATTTGGCCAAGTGAAATGTTCAACCACGGTGCGTGTCACTTGTTCTCATCTGTGCGCTTCCGTTTGCTTATCGACGAGCTAGATCATGAACACGTCTCGCTCGTCGGGGACGAACACGAAGACGATGCTCACGAGCCTGTGGTCCTGGGCGGGCAGATAGATCCAGCACGCATGTCATCTCCTACGCAAGCTCAAACTCACGTCCATCGCACGCTTTATTGGGCCACGGCTTCGCACTTGCGCGCTTTGCTTTCGACCTGCGTATGGCGCGGTGGCTGCCGACCCGACTACATCAAAAGCACCGAGAGCCTGGATCTCGAGGTCGAACAGGATTCCTAAAGCACTCGGCCACGTCTTGTGAGTGCTATCAGTGCATATGTGCGTCGTACAACCACTGAAGAGCCGCCAGGATTCTCGACACGCCTCGCAAAACGCTCCCATTTGGTCACCGCTCTCGCAAATGCTGGACAGCGCTCTGGCTTGGGTTGGCTCGCGTGCGCCTGCCTTCCTGCCCCTCCGGCTACTCTTCTCTTGCTCCCCGATTGCACCACGTACAGCCTCTCCACTGCCGCTCCCGATCCGCGTCGAGCCGTACATGCTCCCCGGCAGACCTGTTCGCGCTTCGCGTCTGATGCAGTGACTTCATTAAAGATTACCCTGGACCTGTGCGCCTGGCGCGCCGACTTCTGCGCAGCCGACTACATCCCCAATTCCTCGGCTTTGCAAGCGCAGTTGCAAGACAAATATATATATATATATATATATATATGTTGGTATCAGTGCCTGCCGACGATTGGGCGGGCTGTCGAGAAGGCCGAACAGGGGACCGCGAGCGGCTTAGGCAAGGAAAATTGGAGCGCGTATATCATGACGAACGGCGAGACCGGAGACTTGGAGGCCGTATGTCGTAGGGCGGATGCCTAGGAGCCCAGCGCGACGGGCAGAGACGTGATGCCCACGCGCGACTAGAACTGTCGGCGCAGTCAATAGACGGGCTAGTTGATGAGCGAGCTTGAGTGCTCGCTGGGAACAGCGTAGTACGTCCGGGATTGTTCGTGTATCTGTACGCGTAGCTGACACTACCGTATAGTTGTTCAGCATAGTTGCGATGCCGCACACGGCGAGATAGCAGCTGCCAGATCAGCGATATGCGGCAGGGGCGGCTCACTTGAGACGAAATGTGCTTCGTTCCGTGTCATTGACTGTGACTTCGTCCTACCTCATGATGCTAAGGACTATCAGTGCAGTAATATCCGACTTGGTCTGCTAGGTTTTCATCTCGAGGTCTGATTGAGAATATCATGCACAGATTTAGTCACATGGAATTACGTTCTCGTGTGTTTTCGTCTCTGCCTGATCTGCAGGTGCCATCCCAACAAAACTACAAAATAGTAGAGGTTCCGGCGCCGCGGCGCTTATTGGTTCATATTCAAACGATGGCATTCCCTCGTCCAAGTCCACGCACAGAGCGACGTTTGTAAGCTTTCTCTCCTGCATCATCAACATTTGCATTGACAGCACATTAAAGCGATTTGGTCCGCCGTTCGCGGCCGAGTCAACGACCTACGGCCACCCAAATGCAGACATGATCGCCCTCAGCGCCCGTCGTGGTAGCCAATCGGTGTTCACCGAACACGCCTTCTCTGGCCCGTGACATCGTGCTTCACAGGCTCTGGGCATGAGGCGGTGACACGAGTTACTAGTTGAACCCCTCCGCCAGCAGCTAGTAGCTATGCGCCGTCTGAAACAGAAGTTACGGAGTGGCAAGGTCCCCGACGCCGCAGTCGGCCATCTAAAGCAAGCTCTCGACATGTTCAACAACTCTGTCGCCGGTAATCTCGGAGTCCCGGGCTTGCAGATGGGCGTGAGCGTCCTCTCGGCTGTATTGGCGATGGTCCAGGTATGCGTCGTGTGCCGCTCCGTCAATGACGCTTCTGATGCTGGGGCCAGAAATCTCGTGCGAACACAGAAAGTATCCAGGAACTGGCTACGAAGGTTGGGGAATTGACGGCCATGGTGAAAGAGTGTACGGAATTGCATGGCGAGAATATGACCGCTCCGATGGAGGCCAGAGTCAATCGATTGCTGGAGTGAGTCCATCATTGATGGCATAGTTTCGGGTTGCTGACGTCGTGCAGATCTTGGAAGGCGATTGATGACGAGGCCCAGAGTCTCAAGTCGCGGAACAAGTTAAGGAGGATACTGGAAAGCGACGATGAGGGGGAGAAGGTTACAGGTTTGGTACAGAGGATATCATGGTCGATCCAGAGTTTCATGGTGCGCTTCGTCTCGTGCTTCTGGTCCCTGGAGACCCGTTCTCTTGCTGATATGCGGCCTTGACTCATAGGTCGAGAGCATGATCGCAATCGAATTTGCGTTGGACGTATGTAGCAGACCTGTTTCGATCATCGGTACAGACATTAACTTTAGACCAATAGCAACACACACATTTCTCGAAGCAGAGCTCGAAGCGTGTCGAGGAGAAGTTAGACGCTATTAGGGACGATACTCAAGTGAGGATCCACAGCAGACGCACAGACAACGAGCTAACGCCTAGTTGCTTCCAGCGCTTGCTATTCAACTCGGAAGGTGAGATCGAGGCGGAAACTATGGCGGCGTTATTGTCCTAATCGCCTGCATCTAGGGGGCTCTGTACCACCTCATGCGGCTCGGGCACAATTCGATGGCTACCCTGAGCGCAAGGCCTGCCTCGACGGGACTCGTACAGAAATATTGGAACATATCTTCACCTGGGCAACCGGCCAACCTATGCGTGGTGATGCAGCCGAACCTGCCGAAGATTCTGCTGGTAGTCAGCCCAACATCCTCTGGCTCAATGGTCTACCCGGCTCCGGCAAGACAACGATAGCAAGCTCCGTCGCACAGCAATGTCACGCCAGCGGCACCCTAGGTGCCAGCTTCTTCTGTTCCCGATCGGACACCGATTGTAGCAATGCCTCGCTGATCTTCACCACAATTGCGTACCACCTCGGATTATTCTACGAGCCATTCAAGGAACAGGTTGCAGAGATACTCCGGAAGGATCCTCGTCTAGTATACTCTAGTGTCTCTCGCCAGTTCGAGGAACTCATAATACGGCCGCTGAAACACCTCCGTGACGGCTTTCCTTCGTGTGTTGTAGTGATCGATGCACTCGACGAGTGCCGGGACCCTCAGGTCACGTCCGCGGTGATATCCACCCTACTGAAACATGCAGAAGATCTCTCCCCTCTTCGATTTTTCGTCACCAGCCGGCCCGAACGGCACATCGTCACCAGGTTCGATACTATCGGCTACCGCAATGCATTCGGGAAGCTACTCCTTCACGAGGTAGAAGTTCAGCTTGTTACCGTGGACATTGGGAAGTATTTCACGGCATCCCTGTCGGAGATCAGACAGTACTTCAACATGGCGGAGTCCTGGCCTGACAAGTCAGATATCGAGACTCTCAGTCGGATGGCCAATGGCCTGTTCATCTTTGCTGCGACAGCCATCAAGTTCATCGCAGACCGGGACTACAACGATCCGGCCGGACAGCTGAAAATACTCACGTCCGCAGGCTCTCATCGATTGCTCGACCAACTATACCTACAAGTGCTCGACACCGCCTTTCCTAGTATATCAACGGGTCTGTTGGGCCGAGTCAAGACTGTCCTCGGCTCGATCGCCGTCATCAAGGATCCCCTTCCCCCATCCGGCCTGTCGCGACTACTTGAACTCCCCACTGACACCGTGTACAGCTCCCTCGTCGGTCTCCACTCCGTCCTCGTCGTACCGGCCGCTCAAGAGTCTGTGGCGAACATTCGCATCATCCATCCGACATTCCCCGAGTTCCTGCTCGACTCGAGCCGCTGTACGAGCCGTTCATTTGTTGTCAACTCGCAGAGGCAGAACACGCTGCTGCTACGCAGGTGCCTTGGTGCGCTGAAGGGGCTGAAGCAAGACATCTGCGGCATCCGAGACCCTTCACTGCTCAATGTCGAGGTTCCCGGCCTGCTGGGCCGGATAGAGAGTGCGATCCCGGCACACCTGCGATATGCATCTCGGCACTGGTGCACTCATCTAGTGAACGGCGAGCTGTCGGATGAGATCCTGGACGCACTCGTCGAGTTTGTTCAAGGGCAGCTGTTACATTGGATTGAGGTGTGCAGTCTTGTCGGGGTATTAAGGGACGTTGTCTCAGGGATCAACGAGGTCCAGCGGAAGCTGAGGGTGAGTGCGCCTCACTCTTGAGTACAGCTCATACATCTAAGTTCCTGGACAGGGTGTTGACGATGACCGAGCGAGGGACATTGTCATTCTGTTGAATGACTGCGAACGACTGGTTGTCGGCTACTTCCCTGCGATCAGCAGCTCAGCGCTACACCTGTACTATTCGCTCCTGTCATTCATCCCGACAAAGACTGCACTTGCACGGACGTATGCGCACGAATGCTTCTCCGAGATCTCTGTCAAGGTTTTCGGCAGCGTGCCAGGCATGTGGGATGCCTGCTTGGGCACGGTCACCGCGCATGGGGGCGATTCGGTCACGGCGGTCGACTTCTCACTCGACGGCAGGACGATTGCCTCACCAGGACGCGACGGCAGGATACGGATTTGGGATGCGCTGACGTGCGCCCTGCTATCGGTCCTCCCCGGTCATTCCAGCTCGGTTAACTCTGTCAAGTATTCTCCAGACGGCGCTCGCATAGCTTCCGCCGCTGTAGGCGGAACGGTCAAGATTTGGGACGCGGTGTCCGGCGTGCTCATCCGCACCCTGAAAGGGCACGCGGGCTACGCGACCTGCGCAGCCTTCACACCTGACGGCGGCCGTATCGTGTCTGGCTTCAGGAATTGTTCCCTCAAGATCTGGGACGCGGACACAGGCGCCTGTCTGGTGACCCTGACCGCGCACGATAGCCATGTCATATCCATTGCGGTGTCTCGGGATGGCCGTTGGATGGCGTCGACCTCGTTCCACCAAGTCATTCTGTGGAGCCTGGAGGCGCCGGCATACACTCATCGTGTCGTGGAAACCCCCAAAGGCGAATCCTTCCCTTTTGATGCTGCTACCTTCACGCCAGACAGCTCCCAAATTTTGATCGCATCGTACATCTTTGGCTCGAAGTCGGGGAAGCTGTCAGTCTGGGATGCCGAGACCGCAAAGCACCTCCGTGACCTCCGGCCATCAGGCCGATCGTTCCAGCGGATCTACAGTCCCAGCTTTCCTTCAACAGGAGACGTGCTCGCCTGCGCCGCAGATAAAACTGTCCTCGTCTGGGACTTTGCTCGCGGCGAGATTCGACAAGCACTCTCTGGTCACACCAAGGATGTCACGAGTGTCGCTTATAACCACGACGGGACTCGCATCGCGTCTGGCTCGTTCGATGGCACTGTCCGGCTGTGGGACGTGACGCAACCTGCGGCGATCAAGCCACGACTCGAGAACACCAG